CAATAAATATCATATATAGTATATAACAACGATGACCAATTCACGCGAAGATTCGTTATACGCGCCTAACTCCAATGATAATCCGACATATATATTGTTAAATATACTCGAGTGTTTGTTCCGCACCTATCACGACCTATCCACCTCAACTGTTTCTGAGCGGGTGGTCTCCTTGAGCGTGCGACACCCCCATCCGCTCGATTCTCTTGAATATACTTAGACGATCGCTGGATACGACGATCACTTCTAACTGCTTGATCTCGTGACACACTCTACCGACAAAATCTCTCAATTTTTCAACGTCCTTCGATTCGTTTGAATTTCCTTCCGCACGACGATTCGATCCATTCATGGTCGACCGTGCCTCCTCGATGATCGTCTCGAGCTCTTCCATTTTATTCGAGTATTTTAGACCGATAGATTGCCGCCGATTCTATAATGCTTTTTTGCATGATTATTTTTTAACCTATCGATTTCGATATTGATCTGTTTTAAATTCGAGCCCAACGTTGCAAGTTCTTTCGAACACTCCTTAGATTTCCTCGCTTTCCCTAGAGACAAAGGAACACCAAGTTGATCGCTAAATTTTGCAAATTCCATGTGCAGTTGTGTAGTATCGTGGACGAGGGGCCTAGGGGGGTGTCGTGCGAATTGTAAACGAGCGGTTGCTGAACGTGTGCATGATATCAGACAAAAGACAAAGGGTTGTTAAGAGATATAAACGAATTAACGGCAGTATGAGTTGAGAAACCAGAGAGTGCGGATTGTGTTGTCGAGAGAGAGTTGAATCTGTGTTGACGAGAGTTGTTAATTAATTATAATACGTTTTTACGATTAGTTTATGTTAAATAACCATTGTTTTCTGTTTAATCCATTTATTATTAATAAACTAATTATTATTATATTTACGATACTACAGTTGTTAGAAATTAACGCTCGATTCGATGATTTTCTGCGCATATTTTAAGCAGTCTGGACCAGCAAGCAGTGCTTCATGGTCGTTCTTTTAGCGTATTTGTTAAATCTTGTGCCAGTCGTTCGATATTATTAAGATTATTCCGACCATTCGAGTCAATGTCCCAAGAATTAACTTTGAATCTATTCAATTTTGTCTTCGAACGTTTCGTTCGATCGTCCGCCTCAACGAATCTCTTCTGATAATCCATGAGATTACCATTTTTATATCTTATCACAGCTTTCAGATTATCGATGTCGACGTGCAAATCATCGTTTCTTATTTGCGTCTTGTGCAAGCGATCGTTTACGCTCGTTACGTTACGTCATGTGGGATAGTCCACGCACCGTTATACAGATTTATTATTTGCTCTTAAAAATCACGGAGAAAGCGGGTTATCTAACGGGAAAAACTGGTTTTTTTCCCATGAACAGTGTCAGCCACGAGTCACGTTAGTAGGAGGCTTCCTCCTCCTATCTTCATTCATTAGCGTGAGTCATAACCAACGGGCATCGCGGATCGTTACCTTCACTTTTCTAACGAAAAGCGTCAGCAACGAATCCGCTTTCTGCGTATCTAAAACACACCCATACCGAGCGTTCCTCCGTAATAACATAAGAGCGAATAGTCAGTTACAAAAACAGTTCAAGTAACAGAAGGACCAAAAAGTCAAGTCGTCAGAGTCGCCAAGTCGAAGACAGTCAATCGACAGAGTAACATACCAGGTGTTTGAGCTTGTATTTTAAGTGTTCCACTTGCGAACTGTGTTCGTGATCCTCTTGCACCTCGTCCAACCGACTTTTCAGATACTGAATCTCGTTGTTCAAACGTTCTCTCTCGGCTAAGTACTTCTGTTTAACTTGCACCAGCTTGTCGTCGGATTTCCAAGCGGTTTGCCGCGTAACGTAGCCTGCAGAGCAGATTTAATATCAGCGACTTCTTTCGTCGAATCTTTATTCGCTGCCTCTAGCCGTTTGATTTCTCCTCTTTGACGTTCGATCAATCGGACAGCGTACAAAGCGTCGTCCGTGTCTCTCGCAGCGACGCGTAAAGCTAGCTTCAACCACCAAATGTTGGATCGTAATTTCATACGGTCGTCTCGCCAGTTTCTCATCTGCTTCATTATGCTGTTCATCCTACATAGAGTGGTAGCTGCGACTTGTGCTATTCTCGTCTTCTCTTTGAACGCGTTGTCGTCATTTGCCTCGATCGATAGGCAATTGTCAAGATACGCGTCCATCATTGTTAGATACTCGTCTGACAACCACGTAACCGAAAGGGAAATGTTCGCTTCGATTAATTTTCACTGAAATTTCCCAGTTGGTGTGCCGATCGCGATGCGGTTACGTCAGGCTTATCCTCGTCAGCCGAGTTTTACTTGGTTGAATCGACGATGCTGAAAGTGGTGCAAAAATATCTCCGTGTAGATTTTATTTACATAATCGAGTAGACTTCCTTGTAAGAAAGATCGAAGAACAAGAACAGAGACTGTTAGGTTTTTATTTAAAAGCTTTTGATTTTGGATCGACAGATAGTTTCATTTCAGCCTGACAGCCTTGAAACGAAACTTGGTTTGCAAATTTTAGAAACTGTAATTATTATTATCAACTCCCGCTCCTTACTTCTTGTCACTTTAGTTCCCTGCAATAGCTTTTATTCCTGTTTAATAGCGATATTTTTACAATAAATAATAATTTATTTATTCATTCGGCTTTACAATCAAACACAGAGAAAAGACCTTGGCTTACATAATACATCTAACTTGCACCTCAATCTCATGTACCTTTGGTTTGGTAATTCGTTCGGTATCTGTACTTTTACGCTCTTTCTCCAAAACCCTTAACCATTTAGCTTATCACCGCTTTACGTAAATTATCCTCTACTATATCTTGCTATTGCGACAACGACCATACCCAAATCCACGCCATTCCATACTACCTGACAGCGAACCGTTAGGTTTTGACGACCTTTGCATATGGCCCAACATTACACTTTCCTCATTACGTAGGGCAATCAGGATTGCCCCTTGCCCCTCAACACCTACAAACGCAACATATGAAAAGTGCAAGCATTCTATCACGAGAGGAGTCTTTAGTCTTTAGTCTTTAGTCTTGAGTCTCGGGTCTCGGGTCTCGGGTCTCGGGTCTTGAGTCTTGAGTCTTGAGTCTTGAGTTCAGAATTTTGAATTTATGACACGGACAGGCCCATTTCCTCCTTTAGGAAATTTCGAATTACATATCCTCCCAGAGCTGTTAACCTAACGACTTCTAAGTCAGGTAAAAATCCTTAGGAAAGGACCAGCCGAATGGGCACAATGGACAGACGAAAGCCAACGGCCGGTAGGGAGAACGAGCGCAACTAATCCGAAGACGATGCCCTTGCAAAATGTTGAAAAACTTTCGTATCGTTGTACGAGTTTCATAAAATTAGAACGTCTAATAAAATGCTCTTAAGGAGAGTTAGCGAATCGTAATTCAATCATAGCAATCGTTTAAATTGAACGTGAAGTAAAAGTTCCATAGCTATGGACTAACTTTCGACGAAAACCTAACATAATCGATAAATCACTTGAGTGGTTTTAGCTACATACATCATACGTAAGTTTTACCTACATCCATCATACGTAAGTTTTACTTACATCGACTTAGTAATAAGTATAACACCAAAGTTTTTCTTATTGATGTTATCGGAGGAAAATATTTGAAAGCAAGATTAGCACGTTAAATATTTTTGACTAATTTATCTAGCATTAATGTCTATACATCGTTTAACTTGAAAGGGGATGGGTATTCTAAATCTTTGCTCTTTGTTCGATGACTAGTACGCAAAGTTGGCGGAAACTAATCATGACAAACAGAATCGTTCGTTTCGTTCAGCGTGCAAGTTTTTACCCGCAAGTTTCCTAATAAATATGTAAAAGTTAATATCGAGGTTTAATAACAAAATTCTAGTGGTGGCCATCCGGACGAGGTACGCGTAATTTAATTACGAACATAGCGAAACTCTATGGCCGGGATATGATCGAAAGTTTCGGTTCGTTTGGAAGTTTTCGTCGAATCGGACGGTAAGTAACTGCGTGGTCCAATGATTTCCTTTAATAAGACAACTTTCTTACCAATCTAGAAAGAGAGTTTCGTTCCTTTTAATTATATCGATATTTCGATCGTTTGTGTCACGTACGACAGAAGGAGAGAAGAAGAAAAGCGAGAGCCAGAGAAAGAGAGTTTCAGTTTTCGCGTTTGAAAAGACGAGCTCCGTCGACGAGCTGCATACAAACGCGGTATATTTTAATAACGCAGCTGTAATTAGATCTCGTGGAAACGTGTACCACATTAATACCGTGGTTACCACAGAATTCGCAGGGATTCCTGAAGCAATCTGTACAAATTGATTACGCGAACAAGCACGAATTAATTAAAAAGATATTTCCTTGTGTTTGAATAACTTGGTCTGCAAAAATATTTCCCGTCTACCGGAAATAAAAGCGCAGCCTACTTTGAGGAACAGGAATATGAAAACTTGCGTGCGAAATTCGCGGCAAAGTGGTCGGGCGAAGTGAAAGCTGGAAGTGTAATAAAGCTAAATATTTCCCAAGTTGTTAGGGTTATTAGTAGCACCGATTAGAGTTATTAGTGGCACCGCGTGCAATTATAGTCCGATAGCTAACCTTTTCAACGCTATCAATTGGAAGCGGAATGATCTTTTTAGCTTCTTTGTCGTATCTTGATCGAAATAAAAATCCTCCTTTCGTCCCATTTCCGCTATTAATATTTAAGAAGTTTGCTTCAAGAAATAATATAAAAATAACCGTTTGTAATCGCCAAAAGTGGAACGAAACACCATTATAGTAAAATCAGATTTCTAATTTTCTAGAGTAATTTATAAGAAAACGATACAGGGAAATTGTTGTGTGAAATCTTTATTCTTAATTATTTGGTTAAAGACGCAATCCGAATTATAGATATAACTAGGATTTACTGTATCGATTTATCACACAACGGTACATATTTCTTTTATTTTCATTGGAAGAATTCCAAAATTTGTAAATAAAATCGGTCTTCTGTAATTTTAAAATATGTAACTTGGTAATAGAGAAATACGACGTTTTTGACAGAATTTCAGAGAAATATATTCGGTCTTTGGACAGTTAATTTGCACATACGTAGAGCAAAGAAACGTAACAGCTAGCTGATATCGCGCGGGAAGATATTTCCTTTTTTGCCATTTCTACGATGCTAATCTATGATGTGGAAATAACAGCAAACGATGGAAAAGTTCTCGTAAATTGGATCGGTGATGGTGCGCTCTGAATGTTTACGGAAGCGCGCTAAATAATACGTATATGTATCACGTATGAAAAACGTATCTATCTAAGCGTCGCGTCGTCGAAATCTGAACAAATTTATTACACGGCCCAATAAAACAGACCGGTCTGACGTTAAATCAGATTATCGATCTTCATCGATGACCGCGGTCGTGTGGCAGCAAAAGTGTGACTGCCGCGTCGAAATACATCATCCCAAACTCGTATATCCAGGCTAAATGTTTTGTTTCACCTGGTGCTCGAGGCCAGTTTGGCGTTTAGGTGCGCCGAACTGTCTGTAATCGGTTTACGATCGTAATTCACTTACATCGGTGATTCGGTGACATCGGCGCGGTGACAGGGAGGAAAAAACACGCAGCGGGAAAATAGTTACGTTCGGATAACCTGTAAAATATGATTTAACGGTTGGCTGGGAAACGAATTTAGGAGGTTGGTAAACGCGAGGCAACAACGTCGATCGTAGATGTTGTACGACTAGGAATAGAAAATATTAGGATAGAGAATTATTTTGTTTTTCGATAGACGCTTTATTATTATATAAAGCTCCTTTACTATCGAGTCTCGGTTTCTAGAATGAATTCGCGGGACCTCTAAGCTTTAAACTCGTTTCTCCGTTTCCTTCGTACAGCTACGAGAATCGACGTTAAAATTCTTGTCTCGCGCTGCGAGGCAAGCGGTTTGTAATTACGGAAAACTTTTGAAAGATTACTCGGATAATGGAAGTTTGTGCCGGCGCGGATGCGAGGCATCGTCGCGAGAATCGATCGATCCACCGCACGAGCCGTGCTATTGCTGCAGTTAGGATCCCTTGAGCGACAAAGAAGCAGAAATGTACGACCTCTCGTTTGCCCCGAAGAAGCTCGCTGTAATGAAGTGTCAGACGAAGAAGTGGCGAATGAAAAGACTTCAACTCGAGAGCGAAAATAGGTCTCTGAAACGAGCCCTCCAGTCATTCGGTATCGATGTGTGATATTTCCTAGCTTCTTCCTTTATGAATCTCTTCTTCTTATTCTCTCTCTCTCTCTCTCTCTCTCTCTCTCTCTCTCTGATTCGTAATTGATTAATTGGAATTCTGTACGGATACCCTTGTGATCGCGTTTCTCTTCCTTTGCGAGTTAGTCGTTTAATTCGAGTCGAAAGGAGCAACGTTCCGTGCAATTAGTGCTGTAAAGAGCGAAACGGCAGAAATTATATACACTGTGACCGGCTCGTTCGATGTCGATAGTTTGCGAACAAGTGTCTCGAAACGAGCGTTAGGTCGTCTTATGAAGCGCCAACTGTTAGGAAGATTCTGCTTGGGGGATTCTCTTAAAACATCTTCAGTTCAAAGATATCGATCGACTATAATAGACTGCGCGTTTTCATGCATTTATGCGAAATTTCAAGATGCAAAAATGCACAGAATGCATATAACGTGCAAACATACTTATATGAAGTATCGAGGTGTCTACTTTTTAACAGGTAAAAAATTTGCACTCAAGTTACAGCTTTCTTAGCTGTATTTATAAAAATATAAATTTCCATAAAAATTCTCAGTCCAGTTATCATATTTTAGGCATTCGATATTCCGTTAGTTTTTTCACAAAAACTCGATGGGTCGCTCACCTACTGCTAATAAGTAGCTTACACCTTTGCATCGAATAGATTGCTTCTCTTTTTCACTATGTTGTATCGAATAGAACATTATATCAAACTTTAACCATCGACCAATATCACAATCGACAAAATCGTAGTTATATTCCATGCCTGTGATCTCCGTTTCTTCGTTTGTGCTTTGCCTGTACTATTGCCATAATTCACAAAATTTTTCGCTACATTATGTACTTTACGACATAGTACTGCATAGTATTCAGTCGAGGTTCTACTAGTAAATTCCGTAATAGCAATACAAACCGAAGACTGTTTGCGAATGTAGACCGGAGCTTCCTAGCTTCAGGGATTTTCCTTTAAAATTCAGAGCGCTTTCTTTGAACGGTATCGTGCACGTGCACTGTTCCGAATGTTTCTAGAGATTAGATGTTTTCGTGTAGGTGTAAATGCGGATGAGATATCGAAGCCCGATCCGCTGCTAGTGCACTCCTGGGAAGAAATCGAAAGGCTGCAAAATGCAAACGCGGTGCTCCAAGATAAAGCGAGGGATCTTGAGGAAATTCTCGCCGAGCGAGATTTCTGCGACGATCCTGACGCCACTTCCTCAGAGAGAAGATGAGATATCTTGGAGAGGGTTTTGGCGCTTGAAAAGAAAGAGTACTACTGCTCGCTACTTTCTCCTCTTCGTACACTTAGACCTCGTTTAATCGTTTCCTCTTGCCAACAACGAACCATTGGTAGCAGAATGATACGCGTTATCGATCCTACGTATCTGTACATTTCGGTTAACTTTGCTCAAACGAATCTATGACCGCAGAAACGTTCATATTTTTATTATACGTATCAATATCGCATGTACGTAATTTATAGTAAATTTAACCAAACCGAGCCTGAAATCCTACAGATCAGACAAGAGTTTACAAGAGTTTTTTTTTTTTTTTAGTTGTTTACATTCACAATTTGTCCGATTTGGACATTTGGTAGAATTTTTTTGATTATATGTGGGTGGCTACCCCCAGCGGAGTACCATCTTCGTGTTTGTTAGGTTATATCCTTTGTGAGATTTGCTGGGTGTTTCCTTTTTAGTCTTCTTTCTATGCTTGATGCGTTGATCGTTTCCGCTGCCAGCCGGTTCGGGTGCGTTGCTATTCTTTCTCTGTACCTTCTTGCGCATCTGCTAATCTCCTCCTTGACCGTTGGTATTCCCAGGTCTTTCCGAATGTCCTCGTCTCTAACGTACCATGGGGCGTTTACTATCGTTCTAAGAATTTTAGCTTGCATTGTCTCTATTTTGCTTATATGGCCCATTGCTGCTGTTGCCCATAGTGGTATTATCAGACAAGAGTATAGAGTTGATAGAACAACTTCTCCCAAAAACAGCATTGCACTAGTGACGTTATCGTAGAACGTATGCCAGCCTTGAAATTAGCAGATTTATTTCATTCGATTAACGCGAGCGACTTTTCTATTTGCAAATTCTGGCGAACTGATTTTTCTCTCGTAATACGTTAAAGCGTTAGTCGGAGGGTTTGTCGAGGAGATGAGGAGTCAGCAGTTAGGAGTGAGTAAACGGAGTGCATGCGTAATTAATATTCAAAGATGGAAGAGGGATTAAAAAAGGATATTCTTCTTTTGGCCACACATATAGGATGCACAATGAGAACAGCATCGGTTTAAATGTTTTTTAATGTGTCATATGAGTTACGTATGTATAATACCCTTTAACGAGGTTACAAATTACGATATTGATCAAAAGCACGATACCAATTAAAAAACCATAGTTTCTCTCTTAGATCGCAGGATTCTTGAACAACCTAAGACAATCACAGACAGACTTGTTGGTATTATCTTCTCTGAAATCGGAAGTGGGAAGTCTAAAGTCACAGTTACACGATCTCAAATCAGAGAGAAATATTGAACGAACTAAACAAACTGCGAGAAGCACCGAAGTATAGAGTCGATCGGATAACAGACTTACCGGAGCGGAGGAACAAGTTGGGGAAAGACTACAAGAACAAGACGGCAGAATTACAGTCAAAACTCGACCAGGCAAATGACGAGATCGATGAGTTGAAAGCTGAGATAACCAAACTGAAGAATAAGTTGGAGGAGCGTAAGAAGCGAAACGCGCAGCTGGAACAGCGTTGTCTGGACAAGCACGCACTTTCGGAGAAGCTACGCGGCTTCGAAGGAAAGCTTGCAGCCGCGAAAGCGATAACAGCGAATCTCGAAAAACGAGGTGGGCATCTTAAGGCGAGACGAGGAAAATTTGCCGAACGAGCTGGACGAGGCAAGAAAACAGGTGGAGGTGTTGTTGACTGGACGACTGGAGGACGAGAGGGCGGCCAGGACCGCGTTGCCGAAGGAACTGCAGAGAAACCGAGATGAGATTGAAAAGTTACAGAGGGAGATTTTTGGTCTGAAGGAAGATGGACGCCGAGAGCAAGGAGAAGGACAAACTTCGCGAAGCGTTGCAAGCATCGGTCGGCGAGAGCGAAAAGTTAAGAGCTCGGTTAGAGCAGCCGAAGAACGAGAACGACGGTCTGATGGAAAGGACGACGGAGCTAGACAATTTGAATAACCAGCTAAGGAACGACTAGGATAGCATGAAGCAGGCTTTGCAAGCAGAGATCAACAAACTGAAGCATGAATTGGCCAAGGCGAAGCGAGACAAGCAACAGTATCGAAAAGCAACTGGAACAAGCGATGGCGAAGAACGAGAGAGCCTGAGAGCCGAATTGGACGAAGCTGGTAAAGAACTTAATAAACTGAAGTTACTTGAAGGACGAGCCGCGGTACAGCCTCGACGAGATCGAGAACGATTCGTTGAAACGAGATATGAAAGCGTTAAGGGATGACCTTGAGGATTGCAGAAGGCAAGCGGAGGTGCTAAAAGCCGCTGCTGACGCGTCGAAAGCGGCTAATGATAAGGAACTCGAACTTGCAAAGATGCAACTGCAAATAAAGAAGTTCGAGTTGAAAAAGAATCGCTTAAGGAAGGAAAATGACGATTTCGGATTTAAAATGATGGAATTACGAGGAAAGTTGGAGGAGTTGGATAAGACAAAGGCAAGAAACGCGGACTTAGTCGCTGAAGTAGATCGTGTTTGAGAAAATAATTGGAAAAGGCGTTGGAGGACATTGATCCGAGGTTGAAATCCGAAACAGGTTCCTTGAAGGATAGACTCGATAATTGCGCGAACGAGATGCGAAAGCTGAGAACCGACAGCGATCAGCTTAAATTAGAGAATCGAGCTTTCGAGTCTGATATTCGCGAACTTGACGGTCGTTTAACGAAGGAAATCGCCAGTCTGAAAGCGAGAAACGCAGGATTGGAACGGAAACTAGAGGCATTGGATAAATGGAAGTCGAAAAACGCGGATTTACTTGGTGAAAATCGATCGTTTGGGACGCGAATTGGCAAAAGCCTTAGAGGATATCGATCGATCGAAATCCGAGGTAGGTTCTTTGAAAAACGGACTGGATAAATGTGCTGGCGAGGTAGAAGTATGAAACTCAGGCAATGGGCGGCGAAAGGGGTCTGAGACAAGAGATCGCCGATCCGATGAAATTAATCGACGAATTGGAAGAAAAAATTGCTAAACTGCAGGCAGACATAGATCATTGGGAAATGAAGAACTGCAAACTTCAGTTGGAGATCGATGAATCAAAAGCTGATCTTGATAAAGCATTGAAAGATTTGCTCGAATGCCAAGAAAATTTCGGGTATTTTAACGTTAATCTTAATAAGCGTAATTCTTCGATAAAAATATTAAAAATATCTTTTATACGAGGAATGTCTTTTTCGTTTATTAATCGTAAATTAATTGAAGAAAGAAGCGAAACTCGAGAGGAGAAGGCGACTACACAGAAAGCAGAGAGCGAAACTCGAACGCGGAGGACGTAATTGCGGAAAAATTGAGAGTAGATCTTCGAAATTGCCAAACTGAGAACGATAGACTATAGAAGCAATTAAACGAAATGGAAAACGAATTGGACGAATTAACAAACGTAAAGCATCGTATAAAGAATGAGATCGATAAACCGAAGAAGACGAACGTGACCATAGAAGCAAAGATAATGTCTCTGGAAAGTGAACTTTCTGATTTGTTAGACGAGAAAAAAAGTTGGTCGATGAATTCTATCGTTTATGCGAACAGCTAAATAATCGTAGGAACGAGCTGGAGGAGCAGATGGCCGCGAAAGATACGGCCAAGGAGGAATTGGTCGACGCGAAGAAACAGCTGGTCGCCCTAAAAGCGGCGTTGGACAAGGTTCGCAGCGAAAACGATAAGCCAAGAAACGAGAACGAGGAACTGAATGTAAAATTAGCCAAGTTGAACGAGCAATTGGAAACTCTGAAGGACGAGAATGCGAACCTGGAGAACGCGAATCCGAAGAACGAAAACACGAATCCGAAGAAGGCCAATGCGAAATTGGCGGCGGAGTTGACTGGAACGAAAAACAAATTGGCAGAAGCGGAGAAACAGGCGAACGATCTGGAGAAAGAGAACGGCGACTTGAAGAACAACATAGCCGATCTCGAGAACACGGTGAACGAGCTGGAACCCTTGAAGAAACAATTAGAAGATGCTAAGAAGGAGCTGAATAGGCCGAGGTCTGAGCTAAATATTAGTTCGAAATCGGCGAATACTCAACTGCAAAAATATTTAAATAACGCCATGGAGGAATGAAATAGATCGAGGAATGATTCGAACAAATTAAGAAACGATTGCGACAAATCGAAGTCTGAATTAGATGACCCGAATGAGGAGATTGTCAAGCGGAGAACGAAAGATCGTGTAATGAATTGATAGATTTGAACCCGGAAAATTCGAAACCGCGGGACGATTTAAACGAGGCGAAAAACGAAGCGAATAAACTAAAAGCCGATTTGGATAAATTGAAAAGGGATTATAGCGAGTTGCGGTTGGAATTAGGTAAACTAAGGGACGAGAAGAATAGACGCAAAGAACGCGATGCTGCGTTAGCCACGGATCTGAACGAATTGAGGAAAGGGAATGGCGAGTTAAAAGATGGGAACGAGAAACTGAAAAGCCAGTTATTCGATTGCCAAGAGGAGAAGGAAAGGCTACGCAAGGAATTGGAAAAGCTGAGGAGAGAAAATGCCAAATTGAAAGAAGGTATGATAACTACCGTTTCAATTTGTTTGGAATTCAAATTAGAAGGGTAAGTGCTTGATCTTTTGTTCAAGTCGCTTTGCAAATTCCAGCAGAGTGGTTAATGAAAGGCATTTAATATCATTATTTATCTTAAGCAGCATCAGATATAATTTTACAGTAACGAGCTTTTCCTCTTATTTCGACTTCAAATTACTCGTGCTTTGATATTTGTGGATTGTGAAACGAGTATAACACATTATAATAGTAAAGCCACAAATTATTCTTCTGCACAGAATTAGTTAAATTGAAAGAAAATTTCTCATTTGTTGAAACTTATATATATTTTTTGAAAAGTATTGGTGCAGTTGACTACTAGAAATTATAATATTCTTTAAAAATTGAGAACAATTTCTCATTTGGATTGTATTATCTTTGGAAGATTCTGCAAGGAATGACATATTAAATTCCTTATGTCACTGACATATATATATATATATATATTGTTAATGAGATGAATTTCATGTAGTGAAAAAGCTGGAGCCCGAGGAAACGGAGATGGACAAAGATATTTTGGACTATGGCTGTGATTTTATAAAGGCGAATGAATTACCGGGGAAGAAATTTGAAAAACGATACGAAAGTAAAAATTATATAGACTTTTCTGCAAATAAAGAACGCGAAAGATCTGAAGACTGATTTTTGAAAGAGCGCTTTATTCATACATGGAAATGTTTGACATATAGGTAGGTACAAATATTTTTTGACATGTTATACGAATATTGATGCGTTACTGAATCATGTAATATCGTTATATTGTATTATCGACGTTGGTTACCGCATGCAAATCACAATGATATAGATTAATGATATTACTTAATAAGTGAATAAACCTGATAGATTCAATAAATCATTCTGTACTCCAGAAATTAATAAACGCCTCCGTTCTACTAAATCGAATGTCCTAAATGTATCTTCAAATTCGATTAAAAATTTAAACGATATAACTTTAAACAAATTTCAGTCACAATTCTGTTCATTCATCAAAAAGTAGAATATTTCTAATTTAATCGTTAGCTTTATCGATTGAATTTATTCCGTGTGATGAACATTTTTTACTCGTGTTTATAAAAATATTCGTACTAGTTAAATATTGGCGGTCTATTTATGACAAATGATCATCTTCCAATCTCGAAAATGCTGACGTATTATTAATCGAAACAACGTGTTCTTTATCTCTGCAGTCGTTGAGATTGACACAGTTAGCAGAGCTTCGCGATAAGATTGGCCACTTGGCATCGGAAATGGCGCACCAGGACAGCAGAGCGGTGCCGTGCGACTATTATGGACCAGCGATTCCGTCAAAGGCGGATTATAATATTTTGGACCACCGTATAGCTACTTTGCAGAAACAGATAGCGGAGAAGCAAATGGAGGCGGACTGGAAGCTCCAGGAGCCGAGGAGGGCTCTTCAAAACGAGCAGGCTAACTTAATTCGAATCTCCGATCGGATGAACTTTGAGAGAAAACGCAATTTGAACCTTCGGCATAGCATGGATGATTTACCGTAATACGCTTTTCCTTTTAACCTCGTTCATCGTTGGACGATCGTCTTCCCCAAGACGTTTCACGGATGAGAAGAATTATGTTCCCTCGGTTCTCGAAGCTAACGAATTTAACGAATTCATGGTACGCTATAAGATCAACAGGCTGTACGAGGAAACATGGGTCTTGAAATTGTGCCATCGACGATACATCTGTTTCTTGTTCAGCGTCGTTGTGATTGTCGCGTAATTTTTGGGGTTAGTCGATGAAAATAAAAAGTAGCTGAGCCGTAACACAACTATTAATTTTGTTTTAATTAAACTTTATTATGAATTCAGCAATCACAATGTAACACACACTGAATTTACATAAATCACAATTCACTCAAACCACGTTATGTAAGACTTAGTTGCAACGATACGTTAAGTACGCGACTGTTATAAGGGTGGAAATCGGTATAGATATGTTGACTATTCTAAGGATACGGAATAAGTGAGTCTTTCTGGCGATACCATGTCTGAGGAAGGCTAGGGGTGGGTGTGTCTAAGGACACGGGACTATCGGATTTGTTGATGACAATTTTGATTAAGGAAGTGAGGGCAGTAGACACCGTCTCCGATTGGATAATAAGATGGTTGGTGGACCAGGAAGGGTTTTAGCCGCCCTCGCGAGAAAGTTGCTAACGGAATATACCAGATGTGAAGAAAACCAACTTTCTAAGCTAATACGTGGTAGAGAATAGACGTAAAGGGAAATCTAAGACAGGAAATACTCGCTTGGTTCGAAGGACTTTAACTATGAAAATGCCAAGACCCCTGGTGGGTACTTAAGACTATTGAGGGTGCGCACCAAGAATCTGCAGACATCTGGGTGCCATCCTGTCGGTGTGTGGCCTGGTCTCTGATGTGAATTGACGTTACGTGATCACCGATGTAAGTATATGTAAGTAAAAAGAGTATATCGTTACAACGTCAACATTCGGACTTTCTTGTATGACTTGTTCTTCTCACGTTAGTTCGGCGTCTCTAAATGTTTAATACGTGAACAATGGAAATTACTGGACGAAATAGTGGAAGGACCTTGATGTTTGCAGGAACGCGAACAATTTCATTGTAATTCGCTCATAATTCTGACGGTTGAATGCAATTTAAAAGAAAGGTACTTTGCAATTATATTTCAGGCAAGCACAATCCAAAATATCAGCAATTAAAAGAACAAAATTGAGTTAGACGTGGGAATAGAACCAGATGCCATTGCTTGCTTCGGAACTTTAGGAGCGTACAGGCACACGAAATCATCGGACGAAAACGCGAGGATCGTTTTCTCAGCGACCGCCTTCTCCTTGTTGCGACGTCAAATCTAAAGAATTTCGGTGACAACCAAACCGCTTTATGTTCTCTCGCCTAATTATACTTCTGGCAACAGTTCATCGATGGTGAGCGACATTTGATTACAGTAGCAAGCGTATACATTGCACTGTTACCATAGTCGTACGTTCTTGCTTACGCGAACTCCGAGTTAAGTGGATAACCTTGTATGTAGAAAAATTTATAATTGGAAACGTGCTGCAAATATGCTCGTCACAAGTGTTTATAATACTGTCCATATTTATGTACACAAGGCGAAAAACAAATTTCATAACTTACGTGGATTTATAGTATGTTTTTAAATACAAGTTTCCCCAAAACTCTCCTCTCTTAGAACTTTTAGATTAATTAGTTATGAGCAGAAGAACTTTGGATTCTAATTAAAATTTAAAGAACTTGGGGTTTCTACAGCTTCTCTCAATAGCAATCTACATAAGGACGTATCATAAATTCACGAGAGTGCTGTAACTTATAATTCGAATCGAAATTTGACGGAACTGCGGTTCAATTTCCTAGGCATGTAGTCCTGTATACAAACTTTATGTCGTTAAAAGAAACTACCGGTTTCCTTCCATTTATTACGTCTATATATTTTTAGAAAATCATATTTAACATTTCGATATAATATAACTTCTTGTTTATGCTGCGAGAGAATAACTAGGTAAAATATCTTCCTAACTAATAAATAACACTAAAAAAGAGAATCTTCGATGTATTAAGAACGAGTCAGCAAGTAAAGCTCGTATCTACGCAATAAATTTTCTTTATCCTAAAATCTATTATCTCGAAGATCTCGGCAACGACGAGAATAGATAAATCCTCGCTGTTCTTTATCTTTTGGACGTTTCCCTTACAAAAGATATCAGAGACGCGCGATTTTTCCAAATCTACGGGCCGACAACAAAATTTCTCTATAAAACCGATGTGTGCCGGGGATTTAGAACGATCAAGCTGGTTCGCGATCGTATAAATTACTTCTAGCCGAGTAATTTAATCGCGTCGCGTCGCACCGGTTACATTCTAATTAACGAAGCGCAGCATAGAGGAACAGATAGGAAGAGGAAGAAAAAACGCGGCGGCGGCCAATAACGAGCAACGTTCTGGAAAACAGTAACGGCTAATAACGGGCAATAGATTCGGACTGGCCGCGTTTGCTCGATTTTGCGCGCGGCAACGCGATTTCCTGTTTCGTTTTGTGGCACGGTGTTGTTCGATCGAGATTAATTCAATTGTATCGTGGACCGCATCCGCTCCCACGACTTTATCAGCAACTGTCGTTGGTGTGGCTCGCGTGTTCAGTGTACAGCGTGCGGCGTGCAGTGTGCAGCGTGCAGTGTGCACGTGCACGCCACGATGTCGCGATGGTACGCTAACGGATACAACTGACAAAGAGTACACATATAATTGAAATGCGCGGCTAGATCAAGTGGTAAATGAATTGACGAAATCCATTTAACCGTGTGTCCATCCAGTCGGAATTGGAATAAGCTCGTAAAGCGTCCGTGTATTATCGAAGTGATAGCAGGTCGTCAGTTAGCGTTTGCGAAACTTCCGCTTTCGCTTCGTCGATTTATGTTTCCAGGGATAAATTGAATTTCGAACGAAGGCGATTCGTTCAGGAAATATTAGGCTCGACGCATTATCGTTGAACTACAGATGTTTATGCAGAATGCACATTAATGCACATGCACATATTTTCGTAGTAATCGACTAATTACTAAATTAGTAATTTTGACAATACATTTAAGTCCGCGATGGAGGTTTTGTTTTGAGAATTTATTATATAGTGACCGAGAATGCATCGACTGAAAATCGGGATAAGCGATTTAGAAAATAATTATTTATTCATGGTTACGATTTATTGTATTTCTAGGATCAAATGTAAGAAGTATATGTATTATAATGTTAACTTTTTATAAGAAACAAATATGAATAACTGTATCATGCACGATGTCACTTGAAACGTGAAATTTTATCGAGATGTTCCGACGATCGAGGTTCTGCGTTGATAACCGACTCCAGGCAGTCGTTGCACGACACCGAGCAAAATCTAGTATATCAAAAATAGGTGGAAATGTCGGAGACAGATTAACGTTAACATTATGATAAATATATTTGCCTTTTTTGAGAAACGTTAGTGTCCAGGTTATTCGTGGGGTTATTTAGGTTCTCTGGTAGATATTCTCGAGAGCAAGAGTTTCATCGTGAAAAGAATGCATCAAAGATATCGTATATTTATCTTTTGGCCAGTGAGCGATGTATTGCTTTAGGCAGCAACGATAACTCGTTCGAGGTCAGGAATCGAAAAATAGCGGATACAGGTCACGTTATGCCCGTTTTGTCGATTAACTGGGAGCATGCCAATGTTAACGGTCGATGAGCTGCCTTATTTCGTATTCTTTTCAATATGGTCACGTGAAGAGGAAAAAGGCCACTGATAGAAGCTGCCTCCAGACCGAGAAGATCATTTTTGTTGATACACAGGCACATTTCTCCGAGAAATTTCAATTTCTGACGGATGCATTTAGTTTTAGGCGAGAGAAGAATGAGGCATAAAATGTAAAATCAGAAATTGATCATTTTTCGAACTCTCGTTCGAACGTTAAGAGTTTCGATCGATCATTTACCTTATTTGCTCATTCAAATTATACGGTTTGCTCTTAAAACAATCTTTAACCATGTACGGTGGAGAATATGTAGGTAGATAGAAAAATTCCTTATTTCATGCAACAGAACACGTTGTGTTCATGTAGCAGTAACATTCGTCAAGTTGTTTAATTAGTTAGCGGTGTGTGCAGGAAATAAGTACGGTAAATAAAACAACGAAAGAATTTACATCTCATCGAGACGCGTCTCATGGATCTTTTTGAATAATTCCGCTTCCTTAGAGGAAAATGACGAACTCGTATCCATTGGAAAAAGTGTTATTTGCATATTTTCTTCTCACAAATACTCGAACGATCACCATAGCGAGACCAGTGAATTGTCTAATTAAATCTCTTTTTCTCATCTGAATTCTTCTAATTAGACATGAAAGTTGGAAACGAACGACAATCAGATGTATGTATGTGTACAGTAATTAGGTAAATTAATCACACAGTCTTAGACAAAATTTATAAAAACGAAAATGGGTTCATATTATCCTCTCTATTAATGATATGTATTATAGTTTATATTAAAATCATAATCATACCATGCAAACAGAGTGATTAAAATACAGGTTAAAGAATTCAATTAATATATTATCATATAATGTATGTATATTAATGCATGCATAATTCATGTTAAAAAGCAATTATATGTTCTTGTAATAGAAACGAAATGAAATTATGTAAAATACATATTTGGTGATATTGTGAAAATCATGTTTTAACTAATCATAGTAGGTTACAGAATTATTCGTATCATTAAATTAATATTCATATCAATATTAATGAATATTAACGATACAATTTTTTATAGGCAATAGCAGACGTACTTACTGTTCAAATGGGCGAATATACGGTTGATCTTGGACTTCGTATAAGTGCAAGTTTTTGAGGTTGCAGCGGACCCAAAATCTATAGGAGTCCCTATAATAAGAGCAATCAACATTGATGGCGATAATTGTCTTCCGGATCCGATGTGTAAAAGATTTGATACTGAAGAATGTAATACAGACGAGAATTTTTTATTTATTTTTATCAGCTTTTTATACTTGTCTTTCTCTCGTTATTTTTCTTTTAATATCTCATTATATACCTAATAAGATATTATTATATTATATATCTAATAATAATATCATTATATATCTAATAAGAGAACTCGTCTTGTATCGTATACTTAAGAAGGTTTTCGTGAAAACGTTAAGTGATTAATTTCATACTTTAATAGATTTCAGGAGGTTTACCAACAGTCGCAACAGTTAT